AGGCATAACAAGCAGCGGTTTCCCATAATAAAAGGCTTCAGTAACTGTATTATTGCCCCCGTGGGTGATCACCAGATCCACTAATGGCAACACAGCTGTCTGTGGTAAAAACGGCTGTCCATACATGTTGTCCGGCAGTTCGTACTCGTCATGGAGTGGGCCTTTGGTTACAATGAATTTGTGCTCAGATTTAGCTAATATTGACGTCAATCGTATCATTAGCTCCAATAGAGCGCAACCAATAGAGCCCATCGACAGTAGGATTAGTTTACCCGGACGTTGGGTCAGACGGTCGGGCACTGCAAAAGTGTGACCCGTGGTCCTCACGAACCCATCCACTCGTTTCCAGTTATGCGGCAGTGGTTGCCATTCATTGTAATCCAGTTCCTTGGGATACATATAGATGTTGAGGTATTTGGACTCGGGTTGTAGTATAGTATTGGATTTGGTGGACAGGGATGGTAGCCCTTGACTGATAAACCACTGATTGGTATCGTGTTTGACGTCTGCAAATAGGGACTCAAAGCGTTCTTTGAATGGTTTCCACTCAGATTTATCTGAATCTATCGCAAAACCTATTGAAATCATTGAAAGTTTTTATTTAAGTGTTAGGAATTCAAAATCAATTAAACACTTAACTAAACATATGATATAATCTTATTTCTGCTTTAAATATCATTTCTAACTTATAATTACTATGCAATTTCTAATATATTTTATAGTATTGTTGTTTACTTCCTTAATACAATAAAATAAATAACTAAACATATTCAATCATAGCTATTTTTAAATGTTAAATGTATACCTGACCAGGGTGGTGGTAAATTATCGCAATTAAAGAGCATAAGGGGTGCGGCCGAGTAGATGACAATAAAGGGAAGGTCAGACTTGATGAGTGCGGGCGACCCGATATAGGCGTCGATGACCACCAAATCTGGTCTCACTTTTGCCAAAATGCGCTCATATTGTGAATCAATTGTTTTCAGATTACTTAGCATTATATGAAAACCAAATGCTATGAATTTTT